TATTCCTGAAAAGACATGTAGTCAAAGCCCAGAAACCCGAATACATGCCTCGGCGCATAAGGGTGAGTCCAGGATGCTGAGGTGAGAGAGGCAACTACAGGATGCTGGGCTGCAACCTTAGTTCCACATTCAGATACGTGCATGCAAATATTGGTTAGCAAGAACTAAGCGAGAAATCAGTCGTCTTCTTTGGAAGAGCAGAAGCCACAAACCGTTGACCCAAATAAACACTAACCCTTTGTGGCAGCCCCAGCCACAGTTCTGGAGGCCCCTTACATTGCAAGGGAAGGACCCTGTACTTGGCAAACCTGTGATGTTTGCAAAACTTTGTCCCCCAAAGTGTGCAGCTGCTATTTTCTGAAAAACCCAGAAGTTATCCCAAGACTCCCTGACTGTAAGTTGTAGCTCAATATGCATGAAGTAGATTGAGATGGACACCTTCCCCTGAAATTAACCTGTTGCCAAGCTGATTTTGTGTTGACATTCATCTCTTCAAATTGTAGAATTGGGGTCCTACAAAGAAGGGGAGGAAATGAAGGGAGATGATAAAAGGGAGATATTTAAAACAAAGGGGAGATATTAAGGAAGACCCAATAAGCAGAGAAACTGGTTTCTTTCATCCTTGTTTTTTAAATAAAGGTTAATAGTTGCTTGCTAAACTCATGTGCACGATGCTGTCATGCCCCTGTTGGAGTCTGACTCCGAGGGAGAGGAGGAACAGCTGATAGGGAGTGGAAGTGTGGCTTTGGAGGTTGTGGAGGAAACTGGGGAAGGGCACACGCTGGCTGGGCAGTCAGAGGAAGACCCAGGCCCATCCCCTGTCCATCCTAGGGCACGCAGGGAGGAGCGGATAAGGGAGAAACGTGAATGGCATGATCTACAGGGGAGGAAGGCCCCCCCCCCCATCCCCTTCATGGGCTGCAGCTGTAAGGACTGTTTAAAAGGACAAACTGCGCATGGCCCAGTGCTGGAAGCAAGGCATAAAATAATTCTAGTCTTACAGTTCTTATCTGAGTTTTGGCATACTTCCCAGTGTGTGTATCTCGATATCAGTGGATGTCTTCAAACCCTTATCATTCATTGCTTCAGTGTGGTTTGTGTTGTTTTTTTCTATTTATAATTTAAATGTATTTTGAGTTTGAACGGCATTTCTTCCTTTTCACAACTGTTTGTGGGGGAGTTTTTTTCTCCACTCAATGATAATTGGAGCTTTGAAGCCAAGTTGAAAGAATTAAAGGGACTTCACCTGTTTTTGTGACTTTGTTGCTTTTGTCTCCCCCACCCCTCTTCACAGATGCTAAGCCATTGTTTTCTTAAGCTTACCTTACTTAAAGCAAAACTGGCTGGGTCCATACAACCGTCTACCTCAAGGATCTTCAAACTTGGCAAGTTTAAGACTTGTGGACTTCAACTCCCAGAATTCCTGAGCTAATATGACTGGAGGAGGAATTCTGGGAGCTGAAGTCCACAAGTCTTAAAGCTGTCAAGTTTGAAGACCCCTGGTCTACCCAAACCAGGGTTTACAAACAATAGCTGACTTTACAGAGTCAGCTAAGCCATGAGCAAAGAGGTGGCATTGCATGGCTTGGTATAACAGAATAACAGAGTTGGACCTTGGAGGTCTTCTAGTCCAACCCCCTGGTCAAGCAGGAAACCCTATACCATTTCAGACAAATGATTGCCCAATCTCTTCTTAAAGATAATCTACACTTCCCACATTCCGGTGGGAAGCTGCTTCCAAGGGAGTATATTTGTGCATCATCTTAAAACAGCAGCATCAACAAAAGGTTTTCTGGAAATATAGTAGTACCTTGGTACTCAACAGCTTTGGAACTCATCAAATTTTGGTACTCAGTGCATTTTGCCTTGTGACTCATGGCATTACTCCTTATAGGAATAATCTGTTTGGTGCTCATCATTTTTGGTACTCATCGGACTTCTCGGAACCAATTAAGGATGAGTACTGAAGTATTACTGTACATCATTGGCCCATAAATCTAACCTTTCAATAAAGGTAGAATGGTGATAGTACTCAGGGTTTTGGTTTCTTGTCTGAGCTAGTTTCCAGCTGGGAAATGAGGGCAGCCAGGGAGATTATAGAGAGATGGAATATTGTGTTACAGAAACAACACAACTGATAAAATCAGTGACAAAATATGACCCAGAGAAATCTGGGGGCGGGGGGGGAATCTGAATCCCCAAGAATAAGCTAGAAAAATAGAAAAAGAAAGGGAGGGAGGAAGGAAAGAAGAAGAAGAAGAAAAAGAAGAAGGAGGAGGAGGAGGAGGAGGAGGACAGGCAAGGCAAGGTGGAAAGAAGGAAAGAAAGAAGGAAGGAAGATAGAAAGAAAAAGAAAGAAAAGAATGAAAGAAAGAAAAGAAAAAGAACTTGTGAAAAGTACAGCACAGGCAAGGAATCCTTACTATTGGAGGCAGATCATTGTGTGTTTTAGCAGTAGATTCTGATGGATTACCGGAACAGTTCTGATGTTAAACCCAACCTTACTACCCAGGGACTTATATAAGTACCACTGCTATCACAAAACTTGTTCTGCAGCAGAAAGCAACACAGCCAAACCACATCCAAAGACTCTTGTTCAAAAATGGTCCACATCTTCGGGCAGTTACAATACCCCCTCCCCCTCCCTCTCCAGAAGGCATCTACCTTCCTTGCAATGCTCCTCTTCTTTAGTGTGACCCACAACCTTTACTGCTCCTGCTGCAAGAGCTTTGAGTGGTTGTGATGGTGTCCCCAATGGAGTGGATCTCTCGGCTCCACATGGGTAGATCAAGAAGAGACACAAGGGGTTGATGACAGCATTCAAACCACAGAGGTGGAATCTGGTGTGGATGTCTTATCTAAGGGGTCAGGGCTCCTTGATCCCTTCATATCTCCTAACTTGACACAAAGCATTCCTCTCCAGAGTCCTACACACTCTACGTTTGGAGGGTCTACACACAACCCAAGGTAGGGTATCCATGCAACCTTCTAAGCTTCTTCATTGCTTTGCAGTCCCCCTTCCATGCATCCGCCAGTCAGTTGCCTTTGCAAAGGCTTCAAGTAGATCACCTTCCCCCACTCACCTTCCTCTTTTGGACCTGGTCCTTCTCGCTGGCGTTGGATGGCTTCCGACGCAGCATGGTGCCACCTCCAAAAGGGCTTTAATGCATGGATGGGCGACGCAGGAGGACCGCCGGAGAGAGCGAGAGAGAGAGAGAGAGAGAGCAGAGGAAGGCGAGGAGCCCAGAGGCCAGGAAACGGGCAGGAAATCAGTGCATCACATGTGCCTCTTTTCCCAGCAGCTGGGCCTCTGCAAGAGACCAAAGCGACACCCAGCTCTTTGCTTGCACACTTGAAACAGGAAGGAAGTGGCAACCTGACGTTCATGAGGACCGGCCTCGCCTGAAGCTACCCAAAAAATAAAAAATAAAGATAGATGACTTTGGGAGGGAGGGAGGGAAGGAAAAGTGTTTTGGGACACCTTTTTCTTTGAAAGACTTGTGGATCTCAACTCCCAGAATGCCCCAGCCAGCACTGACTGGCTGGGGAATTCTGGGAATCGAAACCCACAGGCTTTCAATCCAAGAAGCTTCTTCAGCTCTGATAGTTTAGTGGGGAATGGAAGGATTTACACTCCTTGCAGACAGCTGGTCATTTGCATCCTTTTTAGAGGGTCGTTGAGGCCACTTGGAGGTTTATCTGTGTCTTCAGGGTCACCTGAGTTAGTGCAAATGGTTCCTGTAGTCTGCATTTTTCCCCCCTCTTGAAATCCATTCCTACTCTCACACCATTCAAAGGGTGTTCATCCCAAATTGTATAGCTAAAAGTCTGGTGTCTACAAGGAGTATACACCCTCCCATTCCTCACCATCCTGTCAGAGCCGAAGAAGTTTCTTGGATGAAAGGCAAAACATCTTCAAAAGAAGCAAAAGGCTTTTAAGCTATACAATTTGGGATGAAGATCCTTGGAATGGTGTGGGAGTAGAAATGGATTTCCAGAGGGAAAAAATGGCAGATTACAGGAACCAGGAGTACCACTCAGCTGAGGGCACAGATAAACAAACCTCCAAGTGCTTCAGCGACCCTCTAAAAAGGATGCAAATGACCTGCTTTGTCTGCAAGGAATATCAATCCTTCCATTCCCCACCGTTCTGTCAGGGCTGAAGAAGCTTCTTGGACGAGAACCGAAACTTCTTCAAAAGAAAAGAAAAAAACGTCCAATTGCCTCCCGAAAAAGCACCTTTGGGACATCCATGACCTGAATGGCTGAGAATCTCTACATACCACAGGCTTTAAAGCTATCAAGTTTGGACATCTCTGATGTAGGACAAGGCTGAGCACTTTGCTTTTACTGAGATTGGCAGAACCATCAGAATGCCTGGACTTCCAACAGAGGGCAGCAGAGAGACAGAAACACGTAACCTTTGCACCCCCCTCTTGTGGGCATCTGGAACTTTGCAGCTCAGATCTGATTTTATTTATTTATTTGTTTGTTTGTTTATTTAGTCAAGTGATTATAAGATAACAGGTATAAGTATAAACATAGTTATGAATCCATGAAATTCATAGAAAATTCAAGAAAAATAAAAAGAAACAATAGGACAGGGGTTTATGGTGATGGATAGACCAGTCAGAGCAGAAAACGGGGGCATCTAAAAATGCCTCTCTGTCACATTTCCTTAATTTTTAATCAGCTTGTCGTGTTCTGTGCAGGGAAGCGATCCCTTCGGCCCTTAACTTTTTACCTTTATGTTTATACTACATACTCCCTAGATGCTCCAGCCCAGCCCACCTCTCAACAGAACTACGGTCTTGTTGCTTTGAAGATTCTTCAACATTTTTTTTTTTTTGCAAATGAGACCAGGGAGTGCATCTATTTTAGTTCTGAGTGGAGGGGAAGGGGAGGGGAGGGAAGGATCAGCCAAGGGTCGACTGAATTTATTTCAGTCATAACCTCTAGCAAAATTTTGAAGTTGAATTAAAAATGGTAAGAACTAAGATCTTCCTGCTAGTATTTTAAAAGTTACAAATCAGGTTTTGTTCCACTTGAATGCAAGGAAGTTACAGTATGTTATATGTCAGATTCCCCCCCCCCACATACACGCTGTGTATAGACAGACAGACAGACACACACACACATAGAGGGCGAAAGGGATAAAGGGGGAAGAGGGGAGAGAGAGAATGAATTTTATTGTGTTGTTGTTTATAGCCTAAAGTTCCGCAGATTTTAATCTTTTCATACCCCAAACTGTCTAAAAAAAACCAAACATCGTAGAACTTCCTTTCTGCTCAGACAGCTACACAGAGATAAGCCCAAAATCACCAGGAGCCAAGCTTGATTGGAAACCATCTTTAATCTTTTCAATCCAGATAATGAGGACAGGATTACATTCCCAGTTTGTGGCCATCCCTTCCACCCTAAATATCAAAGTGGAATAACATCCATAATTAATGAAGTTATAATGAGGTTCTTCCTTTTCTTTTCTTTATGCAGAATAATAATTTGGACAGAAAGGTCACAAACCATGTCGTTTCCTGGTGGAACGTAGAAGCTGACTTCAGTAAGTTGGTGAGTGATTCTCCACGTGTGAGGCTGGTTGCTCTGATGAAATCTGTGTGCGTTTGTGTCCCCTGACTTTGGTGGGTAACCAACTTGCACCACCTTGGTTTCGTGAAGCAAGTTTTTGGACCAATTATTTAGGTTGGGGGGGGGGGAGGGGCTCTGCCTTGTCTCAGCTATTTTGAAGATGTCTTCTTTCTGTCGCTCCTATGATGTTTGAGATCGGAAGCACCCGAGTGAGAAAGAATCAAAATGAAACCTGGGTCAGAGCAGGTGGAAAAACACTGCTGAGGAAAAGTCTAGGTATGAATAAAACGCAGGGAGACTCGGTCTATGAGGGGAAAGAGCTTCAGGCCACCTGTGGATCTTCCTCCCTTGGAGAACGTTTTGATAAATTGGGGTCTGAAGGCAAACGAGAGGGCAGTGACTAGAGGTGATTCACCAGCATCTGGGTGACAACCCGTGGAGCCTTCCTGAATTTTAGAGATTTCTGCTCTAAGGGGGGCATTTCCCCCCTTACAATTCTCCTTCTTCTTTTCCTTCTCCTTCTCTTTCTCCCCCTTCCCCTTCCCTTTCCCCTTCTCCTCTTCCCCCTCTCTTCCTCCTCCCTTTTCTCTTCCCTTTCTCCTCTTTCTCCCTCCCCTCCTCCTCCTCCCCCTCTTCTTCCCCCTCCTCTTCTCCCTCCTCCTCCTCTTCCTCCCTCTCCTCCTCCTCCCTTTCCTCCCCCCTTTCTCCTCTTTCCTCCCCTCTTCCTCCTCCTCTCCCTTCCTCTTTCCCCTCTCCTCCTCCTCCTCCTCCTTTCCTCTCTCCTCCTCCTCTTCTTCTTCCCCCTCCTCCTCTTTCCTCCTTCTCCTCCCCTTCCTCTTCCCCTCCTCTTCTTTCCTCCTCTCCTCCTCCCATCTCCCTCCTCCTCTCCCTTCCTCCTCCTCCTCCTCCTCCTCCTCCTCCTCCTCCCCTCTCTCCTCCTCCTCCGCCCCTTCTTCTTCCCTCTCCTCTTCCCCTCCTTCTCCTCCTCTTTCCTCCTTCCCCTCTCCTTCCTCCTCCCCTCCTCTTCCCCCCCCCCCACTCCTGTTCTCTAATCTCTCTGGGCAGAGGACAACTTCTGTTCTCTTCCTCTCTGGAAGACCTCCATGCAAGTGGCAAAGGTGGAAGAACTGCAGACTTACTGCGTGCTAAGCTCCAAGCTACCCACCACTAAGCCACAAATTGGGGGCAGGTCCTCTTTTGAGCTGGTAATTGCCAGGGGCTTCCCTTTGAACTGCAAACTCGGCGGGTGGCAAGTTTTAGATTTCCGAATGGTTGGACCCTTCTTTCTACTGGAAATCACTCCAAGAGTCATGGAGGTAGGTCATTCATTGTAGTCAGTCTCTTAAAGTAATTGTTCATTGACCATTGGTTTCCATCTCGGGGTCCTACTTTTCTTCATCTTCAGCCTGCCGATGGAATCAACCATTCAGCCACCCGTGAGCCGCTCTTCTTGTCAACAGTAGCCCCTCTGGGCTTACCTCCCTCCCCAAGTCTAATTTTGTTATACAATGTTTTTAATGAGGGGATGAGGAGGAACCCGAGCACAGATGGTGTACAGAATGCGGCAGGCCCCCCCTTTTTTGGGGTCTCCATTTCAATCTTCAAGTCGTAAAACAATAACACGCGATGAAATTCTTTAGATGTCCTTTTATTAGCAGCATCTTATCTGGCTGGTGTTGCAAGAGTTCACGAAAGGACGGTCGATCCGTGGGAAGGACTAACCTCCTGAATGACAACTGGCCTCCCGTCAATAGGACTGAGACAGTGGCTGGGGGTTCGCAGGGGGTTCGGGAGAGCCCCTAGCTAAGATTCTGTGCAGTTTGGAGAACTCCCAAATCCTACTCCTGGCTGGCCCCGCCCCTCTCCGCCCCTCCCAGGAGTCTATATACAGCCTGTTTTGGATGCAGGTAAGTGTAGGGTGCTTGTGGAAGCTTGGGAACGGTGAAAAATGGGCCTCCCCGAAGTTCGAGAAGGCCAGAAATGGGCCTGTTTCCGACTTCCAGAGAGCCTCAGGAGTCCGGGAAAGCCATTTTTGCCCTCCTGGAAGCTCGAGGAAAGCCTCCGGAGTCCGGGGAGGGCAAAAACGCCCCCCCCCCGGCTGTGGTGCAGGAGGCCGGCTAGGCTACGCCCACCATGGCCACGCCCACCCCACAACTGGGCAAAGAACCCTTTGCTAAAATTTTTGAAGCCCACCTCTGGACTTAGACGAACCAGTGCTGATGCTTGTGAATGTAGGAAGCCCATATTATGAGGGAAATGGCACAGGTGTGCCATGATTTCTTCATATCATCTCAGCCATGCGTACTGAATCATGATTAATCGCCTGAGTCAGCCTCCTCCGACCTGACAGCCCTCCAGATGCACAGGTAGCCCTCGACTTACAACCACAACTGAGCCCAGCATTTCTGTTGTTCATTGAGACATTTGTTAAGTGAGCTTTGCCTCGTTTTACTTGCCGCCTTGGTGAAGTAAATCACTGCAGTTGATAAGTTAGTAACTCAGTTGTTAAGTGAATCCGGCTTCCCCATGGACGTTGCTGGGCAGAAGGTCGCAAAAGACGACCGCCTGACCCCAGGACACCGCAACGGTCATAAATATGAACCCGTTGCAAAACGTCTGATCCTGGGGATGTTGCAAAGGTCATTAAGTGTGAAAAACGGTTGTAGGTCACTTTTTTTTCTGTGCCGTTGTAATTTGAACGGTCACTAAATGAATGGTTGTAAGTCGAGAACTACCTGTATTACAGCGTGAAGCTTAAAATTATAATCTCCCCTTCTTTCTTTCAGCGTCTGCTCCGCTTTGGGTCCCAAGGGTCGGTCGGTCCAGGAGGGAAACAGAGAATGGATTTATACAGTTCCTGGATGGAATCAGATGCAGGAGAATGTGGTGCTGCTAATGGAGACGGGAAGAAGGATGCTTAGGCCTAAAATGGAGATCTGTGAGATACGGGTTGAGGTGGACCACGCAATGAGAGTAGGATGACAGGGCGAAGGGGAGCAAGGATGTTGTGGGGTGCTCCCGGATCAGTGTTAGACTTCCGGAAGAAGGGTAGAAGCCAGTGTGGTCACTGCCAAGGTGCCCAGAGAAGCTGCCAGCAAGGAGGCGTGAGAGAAAGGCTCTGTGTTCTTCTCCAGCCATCGGTATTCCTCTTCCAGCCGGCGTGTCTGCAGCTCAGGCCCAATGACCTGGCGGATGGTCTCGTAGTACTTGTTGATGTACTGGATCTGCAGACAGACAGGACTGAATTTCAAGAGGGTGTTCCTTGGCTTGGTCCTCTTACCTGTTCTGAATTAGGCTTCCCCAACAGCACGAAGCTGACTCCTAGTCCCGATAAACCCCCTTTTATTTAGTTTATAGTGAATTCCTCTCCAGCAAAGTCCCGGCCAACAGTCTTTCAAGATATTTCCCAATTACAGACCTTTATCAGGCTTGGAGAGTTGCCAGGCCGATATCTTTCAGACGCCACACTGTAGCAGACAATACTTGGCAAGAATGCAGGAACAGATCTTCACCCAAATGAACTAATTGTCTCCTGCAAAACCCCACACCTCTTCTGCTCCTCTTTTATTTCCTATGGGAGGGGCCATTCACCATCCACCTGTGGTTTACTCCCAAGTCGGCCCTTGTTCCTTAGCTGTTCCCTTCTTCTGGCAGCTCTGTGCATGCACACACTGGGAACAGGCTCCAGCTATTCTTCTGCCCCACTGATCTCCAACTCTGGATACAGCTGATAACTGTTGGATGGCCCTGACCCCATCTCTGCCTCCGATGCAGAGCACTCGTCAGAGCCTTCCCCAGACTCCACTACTGGCCCATGTTCCTCCCCAACCCCCTCACTGTCCGAATTTGCTGCCAGCTTTGCTGGCTGCTGGCAGACCACAACATTACCCCTCCCAGGCCTCCTTTACCTGATCCTGGGAGAGAAGACTCTGGTCAATGAGGTTCCGCGCATAGGGCACCAGGGACACCACCTTGAACGTCAGGTAGGGCTCTTCGTTCACTGGATACTGCAATTGATAAAAAGAAGGGAGGCTCAGTTCTTGTAGGACATGCAAGAGCTGGGAACCGGCTCTAGCTACTCCCCCGCCTCACTGCTGTCTGAGCTCGAAGGCCAACCTGCCCTGGCCCCATCTCTGCCTCTGATGCAGAGCCCTCATCCGAGCCTTCCTCAGCCTCCAGGACTGGCCCAGGTTCCTCCCCAAACTCCTCACTGTCCGACTCTGCTGCCAGTTCCGCTAGCCACCGGCCGCCACAACAGCCAATGCAGGAGACTGTGCATATCATTAGAATGTATGTGTTGCTTCTTCAAGAAATAATAAAAAAAGGTTTTTCCATTTAAATTCTGTGCATGGGGATGAGTTATCCCCTGTTTGTTTGCTAGCTAGAGTTCTAGACACTGCACACATCTGTTATTACAAGTATGTATTATATGACTTCTAATTGGCTCAGTAACCAAAGATCTTTATTACCTGCCATGGCACATTTTATTTTCCCCTAGGGGAGTCAGTCCCCAAAACCCCATTATTGTCAAACCTATGTGGAGAAAAGTAAGGGGGTCCAGGTAGATTGACCTGCTGCAGCTCTCATGGCCTGTTTTTGTTGGCTGCAAAGAATTGGAACCACACCTTAAATTCCAGTTAAGATTATTTATTGCTCAGGCCTATACACAAGAATCTTGTCAAGGAACAGCCAGTATTAAGTTGGCACTAAATAAGAATCAGTAGAATTCAAGAGGGTTGAACTTAGATTGTGGGAATGGGATGATTCTAGGCTGATTACTTGCTTGACTCCACCCCCAGGGTCTGCCTGTCCGTTCTATACTTTCTCAATCAAAGATTATCTGGAAATCAGCAAGCTGAGGAAGGCTGATAAAAAATCCTTTCTTTAAACATAACAATTGTTGGGATTATCCCAGGTTCTTTTTTCCCAGGGACTTCCAACATGCCATGGATGAATCTACAGGTGAGCCTTCAAGACTTATTCTCTGCATTGCAACATATCTACCTGCTAGGACTGCCTTTCCTATAACCAACCGTCTGCCCAGAGGCGATCCTTTGATGGATGGTGTGTTGTGAGTGGGCTGATCAAAGGCAAGGAAAAGGACCTCACCTTGGTCTTAGCTTGTACCACAAGTGCAACATCTTCGATACGGATTCCAAATTCCCCATCATGATAATAACCAGGCTCTGAAGACAAAGAAAGGAAGGAAAGAAGCAGGGAACAAAATCTGAGATATTTCCAGGGGTGGGATTCTACCAGTTTGCACCTATTCGCTAGAACATTAACATTCTAAGCAGTTTGGAGAACCGGTTGTTAGAAGAAATTACTGGCCTAATCCTGTAAGGAAGGCAGGAAGGAAACATTCTTTCTCTGGCATCCATAACTAGCTCATCCACAATCCACTTCTGTATTCCAAACCTGGATTTGTATGACAGTAAAGTTAAGGTAGTGACAGATTTTATCTTCCTGGGCTCCAAGATCACTGCAGAAGGGGACTGCAGCCAAGAAATTAAAAGACGCTGGCTCCTGGGGAGGAAAGCTATGGCAAATCTAGACAGCCTACTAAAAAGCAGCGACATCACCCTGCCAACAAAAGGGCGTAGAGTCAAGCCCAGGAGTGGGATTCTACCAGTTTGCACCTATTCTCTAGAACCGGTTTTTAACATTCTAAGCAGTTCAGAGAACCGGTTGTTAGAAGAAATTACTGGCCTAATCCTGTAAGGAAGGCAGGAAGGAAACATTCTGGTGTTGCTTACAGAAACTGCCTCTCCATTAACTGTTATTACATTCTTGGCAGGACTAGACTTCCTGTCTCAGGAACATCTCTGGAGTTTTTTCCCCCTCCTTTGATGGTACTTTGCTTGTGTGGAGTGACCATTCAAAGTTACAATGGTACTGAAAAAAGTGACATGACCATTTTTCACACTTATGACTGTTGCAGCATCCCCACAGTCGTGAGAGGCCAGGCGAGGAGATGCGTGCCTCGATGTGAGTGATATTGAGTGGGCCACGCCCAGCCAATAACATGACCCCCAAGTCATGTTCACCCATTCACCTGACCACCAAGCCACGCCCACCAACTAAGCCATGCCCACAGAACCAGTTGTTAAAAAATTTGAATCCCACCCCTGGATATTTCAGATGTTGTATTTATGATTGTCAAATGTTTGTGGGCGTTATCTTGTAAGTCACTCTGTCAACTAAAAAATACTTCTTTGGTCTTTTTAGTTGCCAGCAGAAAGGGAGTGGGGAAAGTAGGGCATTCCTTAAATGCTTCAGATACTTGCTAGGCAGCCCAAGCTGTTGGCGCACAAGATTATTACTGGAGAGCATGATTGATGACTCTTGGCTATGGATGTGTCCCATTGGAGAATATACACCCAGGGGGTGGTGGGAAGACCGGGTCAAGGGTGAAATAAATGATGTGTCTTAGAGTCGGCTGCACCCAGGAAACACCGACATGGTCACTCCTAATAAATCATTTTTTTAAACTCTGAGAGATGCGTCTAGAGACTTATGCTTTGAATGGGTGTGTATTGTCGGAGCCTTGACACACTCAGAGTTACCTTGAACCACAGATGCGGGGCAAATAAATTTGATAAGTAAAATAAATAAAACCAGGTTGACGTTACCTATGGAAGTGAACATCCCCTTGTCCAAAGGAACATTGTTGGACTGGAACCCCACAGGCCCTGACGGAGGAAGAAAAGTGTTATTTATAAAAATCAAAATAGTTGGCAATCTCAAGCAATTATACAATAGGATGTGCTGCTTTTTTCCTTGTGGCTTTCCATGACAATTACAAGGTATCTCACCATGCATTGTGCAGTGTGTTTCACAGCCATGCCTGACGCACATTCACAAAACATTAGGGAGTGTGGCTCTGCAAATTATTCCAGCAATTGGATGATCAAATCAATTTGCTAATTTGGATAAAGCAAGCTGGTTCGATTGATCAAAGTTTTTTTTGCAACCCCAGAAGAATCATCCAGATCGAGACGGTCTTTTAAATGAAATTATCCTGATAGTATGATCAAAGTGACAATTCAAAGTGAATTAATGTGGATCTTTCAATCAAGCCAATCATTTCAGTTAATGAGATTGGACCTCATTCACGCAGCTTATGAGGAAATTGCCTTAAATTAGGACCAATAAGCTACAAAAATCCAAATTACCACTAGATGCCAGCAAAGCAATAAACCTTGACTGATTTCTAATGACTGGTTGGATTTTTTTTTCCAGCCCATAAATGGTAATCCTAGACCTAGTTTTGAATGGTCTTCACTCCCTTCTTTGGAGTTTTAGAGATGAATCTTTCCAAGTATATCTGAAGGTGTTAACGCCTAAACTGGAATTTTATGGGTACAAGGTGAGAACTCTTATCACACGAGGCTCTTTTGCAAAGGTGAGTCCATCATCTCAAATCATAAGGATGTATTCCCTCTTTGCAAAGCCTACTAAAGGAAGGGCTCTTCAGAACCTGAGGGACAGATGGCCCAAAGTTGTCCCAAGAATATTGGTTCATCCAGGAAAGTATTTGGGGAATGTGCTTAACAAAATGTAGAGATGAATAGTGAGAAACTGGAAAACCCAAGTATGGGAACCTTGGTGCTCTCTGAGCTTGGTTATCTTCTTGCAGATGTTTCATTACCCAACTGGGTAACAGCATCAGTGCTGTGAGTGGGATCTTGGAGTCTTAGTGGACAACCTGCTAAATAGGAGCCAGCAGTGTGCAGCAGCAGCCAAAAAAGCTAATGCAATCCTAAGCTGCATTAACAGAGGGATACAATCGAGATCAAGGGAGGTACTAATGCCACTCTATAAAGCCTTAGTAAGACCACACCTAGAGTACTGCATCCAATTTTGATCACCACATTATAAAAAAGATGTTGAGACTCTAGAAAGAGTGCAGAGAAGAGCAACCAGGATGATAAAGGGACTATAGGTTAAAACATACGATGAACAGTTACAGGAACTGGGCATGGCTAGTCTAGGGAAGAGAAGGACCAGGGGAGACAGGATAGCAGTCTTCCAATATTTGAAGGGCTGCCATAGAGAGGAGGGGGTCAAGCTATGTTCCAAGGCACCTGAAGGCCAGACAAGGAAGAATAGATGGAAACCGAACCAAGGAAAGATTCAACCTGGAAATAAGGAGACATTTTGTGACAGTGAGAGCAATCAACCAATGGAACAGAAGTTGTCTTTAGAAGTTGTGGGAGCTTCATCTGTTGAGACTTTCAAGAAGAGATTGGATTGCCATTTGTCAGAAATGGTGCAGGGTCTCCTGCTTGGGCAGGGCGTAGGACTAGATGACCTACAAGGTTCCTTCCAACTCTGATTATCTGTTATCTGAAGATGGGGTTGCTAATTGTCAGGGCAAACCACTTGTATATTAACAGACAGCAAACCACTCTCTGATGAGGTTGCTTAGCTAGGCAATGAAACATCTGCAAGAAAACAATGAAGTTCAGAGTACACAAAGGACCACACAATTCAACCCTGAGCTACAGATATTCTCTTTTATCAGTAAACATATGTATAAAAAAAACCCAAACTTTTCTCCATGAAATTATACTGTCTGCTCTAGGACTGGAGAAACCCCTGAGCCAATTAGAATTGAATTGAACAATTAAATGACCAAACAAGCCCTTCAGATGCTGCAGAACTACAACTCTCAGCTGACCCACTAGCTTGTAAAGCAGTTGTAGCAACATCTGGAAAGCCACAGCTTCTCCATTCCTGGCTGACGCTGACCAGTGGTGGTTTCCCCACCAGATCTGCTGTCACCGAACAGCCAAAGACGTGTGGTCTGACCTGGCCTTCATGCCACTTACACTCATGAACAGACAAGAAGTTGCCGATGCCGTGACCAGTGCCATGGCCATAGTTCAGTCCAGCTTCCCACAAGGGCCGGCGGGCAAATGCTTCCACCATTCTTCCTGCAATGCAAAAATAAAACCCTCCTTAGTCTCTGCAGGGAAACTATTTAGGTTTATCTCTTTATAATTTAAAAAAATAAATAAAAAAGAAGGCTGTGAAAATATCTACAGACCCCTCACATCCTGGACATAAATTGTTTCAACTTCTATCCTCAAAACAACCTTATAGGGCACTGCACACCACAATAATTAGTTACTAGTTTTTCCCCCATGCCCTCACTCTGCTAAAGAACTAATCCCCACAACACAGTCAAACTATTTACTAAGATTGTATTACTATTATTCTCCTCATCCTTCCTAGTCCCTATCTCCTTATGACTATGACTTTGTGGCTAGTACCCTTACGATTTATATTGTTTTATTTAGTTTCCTAATATCAGAATTAGAATTCTTTTATTGGCCAAGTGTGATTGGACACACAAGGAATTTGTCTTGGTGCAAATGCTCTCAGTGTACATAAAAGAAAAGATACATTTGTCAAGAGTTAAGAATCATAAGGTACAACACTTAATGATAGTCAAAGGGTACAATAAGCAATCAAATCATACTAGGAAACAGTCAATAAGTAAGGATACAGTCCTAAGGTCACAAGTGGGAGGGGATGGGTGATAAGGAGTGATGAGAAGATTAATAGTAATAGTAGTGCAGACTTTGTAAATAGTTGGACAGTGTGGAGGGAATTATGTGTTTAGTAAAGTGATGGTATTTGGGGGGAAAAACTGTCCTTGTGTCTAGTTGTTCTGGTGTGCAGTGCCCTATAGTGTCGTTTTGGGAAAGGAGTTGAAACAGTTTATGTCCGGGATGTGAGGGGTCTGTAGATATGTTCACAGCCCTCTTTTTGACTCGTGCAGTATACAGGTCCTCGACTGAAGGCAGGTTGGTAGTAATTGTTTTTTCTGCAGTCCTAATTATCCTCTGAAGTCTGTTTCTGTCCTGTTGGGTTGCAGAACCAAACCAGACTAATATGATTCGATTGCTTATTTATTATCCTATGACTATCACTAATTGTTGTATCTTATGATTCATGATGAATGTATTTATGATGACTATGATCATGATTTATCACTTATATCTCTTATGTACACTGAGAGGTTATGCACCAAAGGCAAATTCCCTGTGTATCCAATCACACTTGACCAAGAAAGAATTCTATTCTATTCTATTCTATTCTATTCTATTCTATTCTATTCTATTCTATTCTATTCTATTCTATTCTATTCTATTCCATTCCATTCCATTCCATTCCTCTGTTCTGTTCTGTCTCTTCTCTTCCATTCCATTCCTCTGTTCTGTTCTGTTCTGTCCTCTCCTCTCCTCTCCTCTCCTCTTCCCTTCCCTTCCCTTCCCTTCCCTTCCCTTCCCTTCCCTTCCATTCCATTCCATTCCATTCCATTCTATTCTATTCTATTCTATTCTATTCTATTCTATTCTATTCTTCATTCCATTATTCTATTCTATTCTATTCTATTCTATTCTATTCTATTCTATTCTATTCTTCTATTCTATTCTTCATTCCATTATTCTATTCTATTCTATTCTATTCTATTCTATTCTATTCTATTCTATTCTTCTATTCTATTCTTCATTCCATTATTCTATTCTATTCTATTCTATTCTATTCTATTCTATTCTATTCTATTCTATTCTATTCCTTTCTTATTCTATTTCATTCCATTCCAGTCTTTCATTTCATTATTCTGTTCTGTTCTATTCTATTCTATTCTATTCTATTCTATTCTATTCTATTCTATTCTATTCTATTCTATTCTATTCTATTCCATTCCATTCCACTCCACTCCACTCTACTCTATTCTGCTATAGAGGACAAGAAAATCCTGCGGATGATGTGAACTAGTCTGTTAACAAAATGTGCAGAAACTAAACTGAAACAAGCTTGGAGAGCAAACCACTGCCCAAATCTAAAAGCCGAGCTACAAGTATTTTCTATTATTTCAAGTATAGGTTTCTCTCTTTTCTTTTTCTCTATACATGCAAGTTGAAGTTTTGCTCTAAAAAATATAAAAAGAGTCCAGCAAGCCACAGGCCAATCTAATCAAGCATTTACTCCACACTGTGATAATGCAACGCACATAGGAAACTCTCCAATGAGGGCAGCGCTATTTTCTGAAAGGCAGAACATTTTGAGATCCTAGGAAGTGACCGTTCCACTCTATGTAGCACTGGAATTCTGTGTCGAGTTTTGCTGGCCAGAATACAAGCTGAGAACCTGGAAACATGCAGAGAAGATCTGCAAAGGGGTTGATGAGCTTGGGGGAGAAATCATAAGAAGAGCCGTTGAAAGAAATGGGTATGTTTAGCCTAAAGAAGAGAAGACTAAGGGGAGACATGAGAACAGTTTTTCCAACACCCCAAAAGTGCTTTTTCAGGAGGCAACTGGACTTTCTCGCTTTTTCTTTTGAAGACGTTTTGCTTCTCATCCAAGAAGCTTCTTCGGACAGGATCTGAACAAGAAACAAGGAAGTCCAGTTGCCTCCTGAAAAAAACATCTTTGGGACAATCATGGTCTGGATGACTGAGAATCTCCACAGACTTTCAGCTATACAATTTGGGATGGACGCCCTTCGAATGGTGTGGGAGCAGGAATGGATTTCTAGAGGGGGAAAAAATTGCAGACTACAGGAACCAGGAGTGCTACTCAGGTGACCCTGAGGACACAGATAAACCTCCAAGTACTTCAACAACCCTCTAAAAGGATGCAAATGACCAGCGGTCTACAAGGACTATAAATCTTTCCATTCCCCACCATCCAATCAGAGCTGAAGAAGCTTCTTGGATGAGAAGTGAAATGTCTTCAAAAGAAAAAAAAAAACCAAGAAAGTCCAGTTGCCTCCTGAAAAAAACATCTTTGGGACATCCATGACCAGGAGGACTGAGAATCTCTACAGAATTTGTCCAACGCTTTCCAAGACTTGAAGGGAATATCGCTGGGAAGAGGTATGGATTGATTTTCCATAATACCTGAAGATAAGACGAGAACTCAAGGGTGGAAGCTTCACAGAGAGATCCAAAGCTCTCAATGAGAAAATTCCTCACTGTGAGATTACTGAGCTGTGGAGAACCCGTGGACCCATTCAAATCAAGAATGGAAAGTCATTTCTCTGAGATGGTTTGAGGACTCTTTCCCTGAGTAGGCAGTTGGACCAGAAGCTTTCCAAGGTTGCTTCCAATGCTATGACTTATGATTCGTAGAAAATCTCTGAAAGGAAGTGTTCTCCAAGTAGCTGTGCAACTTGACCTATTTCTTTCTGAAGTTCACGGTGCTGGATAACTCACAATATACCAAATCACAGAGTCTTTCATGCATGGAGTCTTAGGTAGGCCATAACGATCATGCTTCACAGATAACATTGACATAAAATATTTCTGTATCGTTCTATACAACAAACTGTCTGCTTTATGAGGTAATGTGATACAAGTAGAAATTTGGAGGAGACGCAGTTCTAGACTGTTGCAGTAAAACAAAGGCATGTAAGTATTCTAAAGCCTAAGATGTTTAGGAGGCAGAGAAGACAGTCCAAAACACGTGTGGTAAAAGGGAAAATTCATCGATAATTATTCTAGCTCAGCTTCTTTCAACATACTGTTTTCCAGATGCTTCAAATAGCTGCAGTTCCTTCTGGCCAAGGATTTCAAGAATACATCTGCATCCCATCAGGCTGGCATCAGTTTGAGTAGATTACATATTAGCTCTCAAATTCTGTCCCCTTGAGAAAAATCCAGGTTTATATTTATGCCCAAAATGTGAGCGTTATTGGATTTCTTCACAATCAAAGAAGAAAACCTGGGAAATCATCAGTAAGGATGTCAGTTTGTCTTGCTTTCTTTTCCCTCTCTCTCCCCCAAATTCTCACCTGACGTTCTGGGTGGAAAGACTAGCTTGCTCAAGTCAATATTTCCCATCAGCACTCTTGTGTAGGCTTCCTAGAGGAGAAAAGAAGATGTTCTGAAATCATATGTGGAAGGAAAAGGGTGAGTGGAATGTATAGTGACCCTAGAATTTGGCTTAGTATGAAGTGTGAACCCAGAATATACATAACTACAGTTTCCAGCAAATAGAACAGAATAGAATAGCATAGAATTCTTTATTGGCCAAGTGTGATTGGACACACAAGGAATTTGTCTTGGTGCAAATGCTCTCAGTATACATAAAAGTATACATTCATCAAGAATCATAAGGTACAACACTTAATGATAGTCATAGGGTACAATAAGCAATCAAATCATACTAGGAAACAGTCAGTAAAAATCATAAGGATAGAAGCGACAAAGTTACAGTCATACAGTCACAAGTGGGAGGGGATGGGTGATAAGGAGTGATGAGAAGATTAATAGTAATAGTAGTGCAGACTTTGTAAATAGATGAACAGTGTTGAGGGAATTATTTGTTTAGCAGAGTGATGACGTTCAGGAAAAAACTGTCCTTGTGTCTAGTTGTTCTGGTGTGCAGTGCTTGTATGAAGGACATACAGAACAATAGGCCAATTGCTACAGATTAAAATATGTTTAAACAGAATAAATATCTCTGTGCTGGAGTAGCACTTCTCTCACACAAGGCCTCCATACTCCATCTCTCTAATTATTCATTATTGAAGATAATATCAGTAATATATCCTTTCTTCTTCTCTTTATAAAGCATTTCTCCTATAGCTGTTGGAAAACACCACAGTACATGTTCATGAATATTCTACTCTATACCTTGCTGGACAAAATACTAGAAACTTGATTGTTTTTAGGGGGGGTACTTGTACCTTTTCCCACATGGTGCCAATTATGGATTTCTGGGACACCCTTAGTTTCACCAGGGACCCTGAATTGGATGCTTTGGTGGGAACCCCACTCCTGCTTCCCTTGGGAAGGTTAGATCTTTCTTTCTTTCTTTCTTTCTTTCTTTCTTTCTTTCTTTCTTTCT